AGGACGGCGTTCTCGATGAAAGAATTCGCAGCCCCTGGGTATTCTCGCCGGTTTTCGACGGTTTTCCTCAAGCCGCTTTATGGCGCGCGCGCCCAAGGCCAGTGATATCCAGCTAGCTCTCGCGCGTGCTTGCGCTTCTGCTCGCCGCAGGCGAGAATATCATTGACCACCCGACCGGCTAGCCCTGCGCACCGGTCGCACGTCACCAATCGCGCGCACGCAGGCGGTAGGACTGCCGGACTGCCGCTTGAGCGTGACGCTCAAGTGCCCCCCGCCCGGCCATCGTAGTCGCCATGAGATGACCGACGAGATGGCCCGCGAGTGCACGGCACTGGCCAGTATGAGTGCTGAGGCGGCTGCCTCAAGCCGGACGCGGCCTGACGGCCCTTGTTTTCATGTGCACAAGAGCCTCGCTTCTTGTTAGGCTCGCATTGCATCGACAGCGGCTTCAGCAGGCCCAAGCGATGCTGCCGCCGCGGTAGCCGGCGCGGCACTCAACCTGTTCGGGATCTGCGCTCTTCCCTGCTGTCACGGCGCCGGGCGCGCGTGGGGGGAGTGCGAGAAGCACGCGCCGTGCAACCGCAGCGGCGTCATTGGAGAGCATCTGCGCACGCACGTGGGGTGCGTGCACCAAGGTGACGTTGCGGAGCGAGTGTGCGCCGCTCCTCAATGTCGCGCTCCTCGTGCACGCACCGACGACGACGCCCCGCCCACGGACTGGCTGGCCGAGCTGCCTCCGGAGCTGCAGCTTCGCATCCTCGAGGGCGTCGACGACTTCTCCGACTGCGCTGTCTTCAGCCTCGCGTCGCCGCGCCTCGGCCTCCTCGCCCTGCGCAGCGGCCTGGCGCGCTTCAAGTACCCGCTCTTCGCCGTGGCGATGCGGCGGCTGCTTCCCCAGCGGGTAGCCGTGCGCCGCTCGCCTCGCCTCGCCGCATCCGCACCCACTACCATCCCACCCTCGCCTCTGTCCGAGGCCATCCTGCGCAAATACGCCGCCGACCGCCGCGCCAGGCCAGCGCCGACCACTTCCCGTGGATTGCGAGGGTGAGCCCGGCGCTCTGCCTCTCATCGGAAGTGGAGGGTGCTGGTGACAGCCGCAGCGAGTTCTGGCATTTGCGGCGCGGCGAAGAGAGTGGCGCAAAGCTGCGGTTTAGGGGGAAGACGGGGGATATGTTGCACTTCGAGGGCGCGCGGGGTGCGGAGAGGAGGGTGCGCGCGGTGCGTGCCGCTGATGGCGAGGTGGAGCACTACGAGGGCGAGCAAGGTGCGGAGCGGTGTGTGCGCGCCGAGTTTGCCAACGGCATGGTGCAGCACTACGAGGGCGAGGGAGATGCGGAGCGGATGGTGCGCGCTGAGTTTGCCGACGGTATGGTGCTGTACTACGAGGGCGAGCGAGGAGCGGAGCGGAGGGTGCGCGCGGAGTATCCCGACGGCGAAGAGTGGTACTACGAGGGCGAGCGAGATGCGGAGCGGCTGGTGCGCAAAGAGCTGGGCGGGAAGGGCTCGTCACGGGGGACGCCATTCACGTAGTGCATGCCGAGGCCAGTGTGGTCCATCGTCTGGCCGGGTACAGGGAGGAAGGGGTGAGCGGGGTGCCGTGCCGCTCCCCTCGTGAGACCTGTACCTGTCGCAGCGTGACTGTCTCAGCCCACTCCGCTGGCATCCCCGCCGCAGCACGCAGGCGAAGCGGTGAGCCAGCGGCAGCGAGCGCGTCGTTGACTGAGACCTCGAGCGATATACCCGCCTCAGCAAAGTACTCGACTGCGAATGTGGCCGCAATCGGCTTGGAGAGCGATGCTATCTGGAGGAGCGTAGAATCAAAGAGAGGCGTGCCGGCAGAGTCAGCCAGTCCGGCCGTCTGTGTCGCGACCGTCGCGTCGCCATTTCCGTTGCTGGGACAGAGGGCAGCGATCGACACTCCCGAGACGCCATGCTGCTCTAGCAGGGACGAGAGTGATTCGGGTCGGAGCAGGTCGGACCTCGGCATACTTACCAGCACGCAGCAGGACGCACGAACATAAAAAGTTGGCTTGAGTTGCGCTTCATAGCTCCCCGGCCCTGGATGTGAGGTCAATAACTGCACTCCAAGTGCTCCAAGTGCCGCCCGTCACTGTCTTTTGCCCTGAAAGCAGACTTATACTTCACAGCTCACCTCTCTCCACTTCCCCCAGTCAACACCGGAGAAACATGCGAACGCCCCTTCCACCACCCCTCCCCCCCACACACACACACTAGCACGAGCGGCGCGGCTGGGGGCCATGAATACGGGATATTTCACACCGCGCGGTGCATTCAAGAGTCGCCAGCGTGGGGAGCGCCTGCAGCTTCCGCCGCGTCCGATGGGACCGCGGAGCGCGACCCGATGCCCTCCGTCCTCACACGTTGGCCTCGGCGTCAGAGAGCAGCGCAGCAGTGTCCACGCCCGAGACGCGGGCTCGAGAGTTGCGGCGCAGCGAGTTGCGCGAGGTGCGCGAGGCGTGGCTCCAGCGCGAGGCGCGCGCGGCGCGTCTGGGAGAGCCGCTCGAGGAGAGGCGCGCCGCCTCGGACGCGCGGCTCTTCCGCATCGAGCCGCGGTCGTCCGCGTCGTCGTGGCGGAGGCGGACGAGCTCCACCACGAGCTCCTCAAACTCCTCGAGCCCGAGCGTGCCGTCCCCGTCGGCATCAAACCGCTTGAGCACGGGGCGCGCGTCTCCGTCGACCTCGAGCTTCGCGAGAGCGTCCTGCAGCTCGGCCAGCGACAGGGCACCCGAGCCGTCCTTGTCGAAGAGCTCAAAGGCCTCGCGGATGTCCTGCCTGCTGAGGGTCGACTTGGTCGGGTCGACCAGCGGGTTGCCGTCCGTTTGGCACTCGACGTCGATGGGCTCGCCCCGCTCGAGATCCTCTGGGGGAGGGCAGCAGGGGCTGGTCCAGAGCCGCCAGAAAAAGTCGCGGATGGAGCGCAGGACCTCCAGCCACTTCCACTGCTTGAAGAGAAGGTCGCACAGGGCCAGGACGCCGTAGATGAGCGGGACGATGGTGAGAATGATCACCAGCGCCACCCCCGCGGCCGCGCCCTCGTCGCCGTCGCGCCAGTTAATTTTCGGGTAGATGACGAGCTCGGTCCGCTGCTGGTACATGAGCGTGAAGACGATGTAGGTGGCGCCAAAGGAGAGCGGGAAGG